CACACCCATATCAGAGTAGGTATCAGTAACGGTAATTTCAAACTACTGGTCCCTCCTGGGTGGAAGAAGCAGCAATTACAGATGTGAGATATGCTGATTCCGGGATCTAAAAGGACCCGCCAAGTGCTGTGTCTTTTTCTTGGTGATAGGAAGAACAAGGTGTAATAACTTGCCCTTTACCTTAGAGAGAACACACTGGCATGGCCCAGACCATTGCACCTCTGGTAACTTCATTGATGTGGCAGGCCCCTGAATTTTTGTGGGATTTATTTCTCACCCTGTGGTGTGCATATACCTTACTAGGGCATCCAGATATCCTTTCCAGGACATTAAACCCCAAGTCCCCATCTAGCATTATGTTCCACATCCTGGTCAGACAGACTCGAGTCCATTCCCTCACATGTTCCCCTCTTTCTATAGTATGTATTAGCCAGGTCCTGCAACTCTTTCATTGAGTCAGCTATTTCCTGGAGCATGGCCTGTATTTCCCTGTTCATGTTGTGCTGAGACCTGACCCCAGTTACTGGTCTGGAGGCAAGGAGCGGAGGACAGTTTGGATCTGGAGGAGGACATCTTGTGAGGCATCCTCCTCACGCAAGATCTTCACCTGTGGTTTCTGTCAAAAGGAGGCTACTTTCAAGGGGGTAGGGTTTCTTTAACTGGTTAGAGGATTCAGGTGAATCTGGGGGTTCAAGATTTTCAGGTACAACCACTCAAATGTCCACATCCTAGATCCTAGGGTCTCACTCCTTCCCTATCAGGGCCCTGACGCTAGCAGCTCTGGCACTTGCTGGTTAAATACTAGGCCCAATTTTCAATACAGTCTTCCTACAACTGCAGGAGATGAAGATCTCTTTAAACAGTGCCAAGGAGGCCTTCTGGCTTTCACACTATGTCCTGTACTGCTAGTTAGCTGAATGGAGACTGTCATTCTTTTTTTTCAAGGTTCCCTGGGCACTTAGCAAAAGCTGCTAACTCCACAATTCTTATAATTACCCTTACTCACATTTCATTTGATATATTGCATGACCTAGTGTTTCCCCTTCCACTGTTCCTTATCTCAATTTACAACAGGTAAGAGTCTTAGTATTATAATACTACAGTCTGTAGTATTATAATCATGTGATACCCAGGAGCTATCACACTCTATTTAGTAGAGCAACAAATGGAATCCTCTTGCTGAATGACTGGAAAGGTTGTCTAGTTCCAGAATCCCATCCTGAGTGTTGGCTTTCTAGAGCCGCTTCCAGTCGGGTTCTCTTGAAAGCAGAGCCTAAGACAAAGACCTAGCAGATGCAGGCATTTATTTGGGAAGTGATCCCAGGAGTAAGGCAGCAGGAAGAGTAAGACAGAAAAGAAGGAAAAGCCAATATCAAAGTGCATTATCAAGGTCACACCTTGACCATAGGGAATGTCTCCCAGAGTTGCCTTCCTAGAGGAGGAAAGGCTCAAACACTCATCCATTGGTCCCTGTCTCCCTTCGGAGGAGGGTGTCTCCAGGTTATTAACATCCATTTCACTCCCACCTCTCAACCACCTTGAAGCAGCAGAATTTAGCAATTGAGAGCCTGCTTGGGGTGGGACGCTGACCCCAGAGGGGAGCCTGGGCTTTCAGGGAATTGCTCATTGGTAACGGAGCTTTCAGGGAATGCAGCTCTGGCAGCAATCAGAGGCGGCTGAGGGGTTGGGACATGGGGCACCAGAGGCATCTGCTCCACCATGTGAACAATTGCTAGCAACCCTCTTAGGGCCTTATTTTTTTTTAAAGATTTTATTTATTTATTTTTTCCCCCAAAGCCCCAGCAGATAGTTGTATGTCGTAGCTGCACATCCTTCTAGTTGCTGTATGTGGGACGCGGCCTCAGCATGGCCGGAGAAGCGGTGCGTCGGTGCTGGCCCGGGATCCGAACCCGGGCCGCCAACAGCGGAGCGCGCGCACTTAACCGCCAAGCCACGGGGCCGGCCCTCTCTTAGGGCCTTAGAAGGGGCTCTGACAAGTAAGAGGCCCTAAAGCTTAAACTTTTAGCTTCAGGGTTAATCTGCCTCTGTAAGGGACTCATATTTGTCCTAGAGGAAATGACTGAGGAGGAAGGAATGTTTTACTCAAGTCAGCTCTCTCCACACAAGAGTTTGTCCTCCTTCCCTGGTCCCCTGCTGCTCCTGAGTCTCAGCGTCTTTCTCAGGCACGTCCTGCCCGCTCCTCTGGCCGGAATCCCACGGGTGGGGTGGACGGCAGTCTGGAAGCGCCAGTCTTGTCATGGGCTTTATTAGGATGTTGCTGAGTTTTAAGAAGGGCCTCTTCAAGTGTCAGTTGCCTCTTTGAGGTAAATTTAGAATGAAGATGAAAAAGGCTGGATTTACAGACAGGAGGAAGTGCCCTGGGGGGCTTATTCCAGGTCAGGGAGGAATTAGCCCCTCAAGGCCACTTCAGATTTTCAAGTTGTTCACTGGAGGTCGAGGGGACACATCATTTGCTGGCTAATTCAAGCAAGTCCTCTGACAGATATTTGGAGAAAAGGCTCCAAATAAAAGCAGAAACTAAAGACCAGTGCCCATGAGAGTTGGGACTCAGTAACCCCACGTCTGTTAGCTTGGTTTCCCCTTTCTCCTTCTGCAGTTACTGGCAGATGAATTCTTAGACTAGAAAGAGTTTGTGCACCTATATTTGGGAGCAGCAAAGAGGGAGCTGGTCTCATTCCCAAGTCAGGTGTGGGGGCTGGGGAGGAAAAGATCCTCCGAGGGTGAGGTGGGTGGTGGCAGCAAGTGAGGAAAAGAAAAGGAGAAGCAGGGTGGAGATGCTCCAGAAGAAAAGCTATGGAGTAGTGGGTGACCCAAGGGAGAGGCAGGTGGAAGGGTGGCTTCCAGGCTGAAAAACCAGGAGCGGACAGCTCCATTCAGAAAAATGGGGGGGGGGGGGGGGGGGGGGGGTGGGGATAGAAGAAATGGAGCTTCAGTCTGGTAACGGAGCAAGTTTAGAGTAAACAGGGATGGTGAAAATAAGAGGAGATTGTAGGCTAAGAGGATTCCCAGAAGTAGCAGGGTTTTGGAAAATGAAGGAATCTAGAGTATGGTCCAATAAATGAGCAACCATCAGTAATGGAAAGGTAACTAAAGTCAAGGAGGTCACAGAACTAAGGCCAAGTGTGGGAAGGCCACTCACAGGAACACCAAATGGGATAGAGAAGGGGCCTGGACCAAGGGGCAAATTCCTCAGTGAATTTGGGGTGTGTATGTGTTGGGGGGGGAGCAACCTGGACGCCAACGATGTGAAAACAAAGATGTCTGAACTGAGTACTGAAGAATGAGAATGATGAAGAAGTGCTCACTACTCAGGGAGGAAGGGCTTCCAGGCAGAGGGAAGAGCATAAGTCAGGGCACAGAGGCATGCAGGAACATGGTGTGTTCAGGAATGGAGAGCCAGCAAGCAGCCAGATCATGACAGACCATGCTAAGGAGTTTGGATCTATCCTCAAGGAGGTGGGGACCTTCTCCTTCCTCCTCTTCATCCCCTGTATTCCTGTACATAATGTGGAGGTGTCTCAGGGCTCATCTTTGGATCCCTTCTCTACCTGCACTCATTTCTTTGGGGACCTCATCCATTCTCACTGCTGACAACTCCCAAATTTACATCTCCAGATTCATATATTTGTACAAGACTGCAAAATTAGGGGGGAAAGGAAAATGGCTGATGGGCTTTACCCACCAGGGTCTGGTTCTCAGGTTCACAAATTCATAAACTAAGTTTTATTCCTTCTCTATCCCCCTCCTCCCCAGTAGATGGTAGAAAATCAACTTGTACTAACTAAATATATAAAGGTTTATTTATTTATTTGCCTGTGTGCTGTTTTTGAAAAACACTTATTGGTTGGATTCTGATTATAAAAATAATGCATGTTCATAATAGAAAATTTCGAAAAATCAGATAAGTATTAAGAACAAAATGGAAATCACCTACAACAGCAATAACACTTGACGTCTATCTATCTATTATACCTGTGTGGATATTATTTTAACAATATTGGGGTCATACTGTATATACTTTTACATCCTACTTTTTCTTACTTTTATATTGTAAGCATTTGGGAAAAAAACCTTTTGACCTTCTCAGTTTGTAGAATATACTTATTTTTATTATCCTGGGGCCTCCGTTTACAGTATCAAGGCCCATTATCAGAAGCTTGCTTTGGTAAGCATGAAATCAGAGCAAAAAATAGTAATTTAAAAATCGGGCAATTGTACCAACAATTGTATCCAGGCCAGATTACTCGCATCTTTTTGTGCCTGCAATGCCGGAAGGGCGCCCGGGCCCTGGGTGGAGGCCCAGGGTCAAGGCTATGGCCAGTCCCCGGGACAGGCATTCCTGCGGGGCGGACGCCACTAGCGCGGCGGAGGCTTCGCCTGGGCTCAGCGGGTGTCGGGCAGGCATAAGGGAGTGAAAGCGGCTCAGGCCGGCCTCCTCGAAGAAACGCGGGGAACCCGGCCATCCCCCGGGGGCCCATTGCGGCCTGCGGCCTTGGACCGGCCGCCCTGGGGAGGCGGGGAGCGAGCACTGACGGCGCGGTGGGGCGGGGATGGCGCGGCGCCGGCGACCTCCGGCCTCCGGGGCTGGGCGGGGGCTCGGGG